TCTATACGATGTGCACACTGTTTGGGGGAGGGGTTACCTCTTCCTACAGCTGGGAGCACTTTCTGCTTTGCCAGCTGGGCATCCTTCCCAAGGTACCTGCTTGAATCTCACTCCCAAGAGGAAGCTACAACTGCCTCCCAATCGGGCTGTGAGTAATCAGTGAGTGCAGCTGGAAGAGGGACAGCAGGCAGAGGGGCTCCTTTCATGGGGTGCCACTTACTCCACCTCTTCCATATCACCAGCCAGAAAAAATGCAGCCCATGTACCATCCTTAGGCAAGGAAGGTGAAAGGGTAGAACAGACACTAGTTTCCCAATCAAGAGCACCCTTGTGCAAGTGCAGAGAGCACTGGAGGCACGGCTGATGTTACAGCTGAGAGACGTCCGGGAAGGGGCCTGCAATCCAGCCTGCTGCTGCTGGTTATCTGGGCACTGGGAAGCCCAGGTGGCTGTTGGCCCTGATTCCACCAAGCCAACCAGAACTTTGGTTTAGAAGGCAAGCTCAGGACGAGAGGCCTGTGTATTGCCTGCCTCCCCCACCCCCACCCCCCGAAACAAGGGAAGGCAAACAAACACCGTCTTTCAGCTCCTGTTGTGGCAGCAGAACTCTGCCCTGCGAAGACAGCTCTCATTCGAGAAAGGACAAAGCAGCATTATCTGCGCCCAGGCAAGGCTGTGCCATGGATCAGCTTCTGGCTCTGCCTGCCAGGCGGCGCGTGGGCTTTGTTTGGAAGCCTGTGGACACCACCTGGCTGGGGCTTGCAGCCAAACTGCAAGGGAAGGCTCAGCGCAAGGATATGAATGGGAGCACAATGTCCATAAATACTTCCAGTAGCTGTAATTCTGGGTAGCCTCATGCTGTGTCTCCAGGCGCTCATTACATTTGTACAGAAAATAACATGATTTGGGGGAATATATAGTTTCATTTACTTCCATATTATTAAGGGCTAAATGTTAACACATGATACAAATAGAAAGCGGGGTAGAAAAATGGCAAGTGCAGAAAAAGGGTGTCCCTCCCAACCAGACTACAGGTTCATTTTACCACCCAAGAAAATGTGCAATGATGAGCCAAGGTAACTGGATCAATTGTCAGCCCCGGGGGGAGGGTCAGTGAGCAGGTGATGCTGTGCTATGAACGACAAGGAGGTTCATGAACCACAGCACCTAACACTGCAGAACGAGGAGAAGAAAAGAGCCCTGACCAGCCCTATTGGGCCCCTGAACATCCCAGTCCCAAAAGCACTGAGACATCCTGCTCCTCTTTCTTGAGATGGAAAGCAGTCTTTTTGAAGTTTGGAGACTGGCAGAACTGACCTCTTGCCCTCATCTAATGAAAGGCCACAATCCCAGTGCGCGAAACGGTGCTGCATTTACCCATCCAGTCAACTGGCTCTTTGTTCAGCAGCCGAGAAGGGGAGGTTCAGCTCTTCCTTCTACACTTTTTTGCCCAAGACTTCAGCATCAGCAATATACTGTACAATATGGCTCAGGTGAGAAGGGCTCTCAATTGCCCTTCTCATCCCTTAAGGACATCCAAGCTGGATCAGGTCAAACCTGGCCTACCTCCCTAGTCCAGCGTTCTGTTCCCACAGGGGCAACCAGATTTGGAAGTCCCAGGAGGACTGCAGCCTTGCTGCTCCTGTTTCCCCAGCAAAGGGTAAAAAAGGTCAAATACCAGGACCCAATTCCTGATGTAATCTGCACCCACCCCAAATTGCAGCCACTAATAACTTCACAAAAGCACAGCTGCAGAGCTGGAAGGGATCCCAAGGGCGATCCTCCAGGAAGCTCTCTATCCCGTTTTCAAGCTGTCCACGTTGGTGCCTATCGCTTGATCTTGTGAAAGCAACACTTCATCTGTATGCCACGTGAAGCATCACTTCCTTTATAGTGGGACGAGGAGCTAAATTTACCACTGCTTAGCCTCAGGAGGTGACCCCACTGGGTTGTCATATGAGAAAAGAGAGGGAGACTCCACCTGTTCAACAATACACATAAAGCCTGTCCTGAAGAGTGTAATTGGCTTCTCCGGGTCCTCTTTACCCTCCTCTTTCTGGGCTCCCTCAACCCCCTTGTAAGCCAGTGGCCTGACCTCCTGCCCAGGCTTGCTTCTGCTTCTGAAGAATTTACAGAACAGTTAATTTCTGGTCTCCATTTTAATTAGCAATATGTGCTTCAGTGACAGGCAAAACCACTCTCTCGGCCTAAAAGGATGGGTTGCAAAAGATTTTTTGAGATGACCTCCTAGACTGTGATCCTTTTTACACTTCTTTAAATAGGCAACATCTGAACTTGCCTTCCTCTTGCAGTTTATTATCCCCAATGCCTCAGCTCCTGTCCCTTCCCAGCATACCTGACCAGGCTGTATTGCTTAGAATGGAATTTTGCAGGTTGATTTTCTTTACATGAGCTGTTCCCTGCTTCTTCTGGAACCAGGAAACTCCAGAACTGTCTTCCTGCCCTGCTGTTGCATTTCAAAAGACTTTCAAAACCTTGCTAGACTGAGATTCAGAGCCAGCCACAGAGTTCAAAATCACGGCCTTGGCAGGCCGTATAAACTCACGTATAGCTCACCACCCTACAAACACTACTAGCTTTTCCAGAAGCAACATGACCTCTCATTAAATGCCAGCACCCTGAGAATCAACCACATGCTTGCAGGGGGATTGAGATCTAAAGGCAAGATTGATTTTGATGCGAGCACCAGCAAAGCAAATGGGTTTCTGAAAAACCTATAATTTCTCTGCAACCCTTGACTTGACTAAACACACAGTTTTAGACAGCAGCACAGTTAGGAAGGCATTAAACAAAAATGAGGCAGGCTAATGGTGATTTATGTGTAAGATAACCTTATATAAGAGAATTTATCTTTTGATTCCAGGGTAAATTTCAATTCTACCCAGCTAACCAAACAATGCAGCCAGCAATTTGACAAACAGAGGCAGGAGGAGCAGATGGCTGCAACCCGGAACAACAACAAGAACAAAACACCAGAGAAAAGCACAGCCTTCCTGCTTCTTTACTTTGTGGCTAGGACCTTGCCACTGTCTTAAGCAGGAAGCACTTCTTGCACAGCTTTCCTGAACGGTTGGCTGGAGAGGCAACCTGAATATCCCAACATCTAGGCCTGCAGCCACCACTGCCACAGCCCAACTGCCCTCCAGTTTGGTCAAGCACCAGAATTCCATGAGACCGGCAGGGCTTCTCTTTCAGTTCCGCCCAGGCAGGCAGCAGAGAATCATGCAACCAGATCAACAAAATGGCTTTGCACAAAGAAAAGTCAGAAGCACCACCAAATGGCCCTTTAAAGTCTGCAGTACAATAGCCAAATGGGACGGTCCTTCCAGAGAACAGTTTTCTTCTCAGGCAGGCTTTTCTCAGTAACTATCTGCCTACAGATTGCTGGTTTTGAGTTTTTGTTTATTGGTTTGCTTTTCTTCTTCCCTTCCACTTTTTATATTGTTTGTTTTTAACACTGTAAGACACTTTGGGTCCTCATGAGGAAAAAAACAGGGTATAAATAAATAAATAAATAAATAAATAAATCACTCACTCACTCACTCACTCACTCACTCACTCACTCACTCACTCACTCACTCACTCACTCACTCACTCACTCACTCACTCACTCACTCACTCACTCACTCACTCACTCACTCACTCACTCACTGTAAAGAGAGAAAACATAATCAACAAATAAACTGCAAACAGATACATGAGAACCAATCACCACTAAAGAAGTAAGAGGTAAGGGAACCAGGTGGGGGGAGCATTTCAGTCACCTCCTGTCCTCTACCACCTCCCACTTCCATTCCAAAAAATAGACACAGGCTCAAGCCTGGGGAAAGGACATCACACAACAACACAACCCAACTGCTGTATCTCATGCTCTGAAGAAGGGCCCGGGTAGCTCTTACGCAAAGGTGTTGTAGCCATTACATGCGCTCTGTCCTTGAGAGTCAGGCTACCCTTTCTGCTCCTGCCATCTTTAGGTGTCAGCTGGTAGACGGCGTAGACCTCTGATACGGTCCCTCAGCCCCTCAGAGAGGACAACCAGACTGTATTGTTCCTCCCTGCTCCTTCTCTCCCTCGTAGGTGCAACACATCCTAGAAAGTGCATCCCCATTTCTGAGAATCAAACACAGAAACAGTTCAGGAGCATTATCCAACAGAGCAAAGCAGACACTGCCCCGGGCAAACACTGCTCACAAATCAATGAGCAATTTATTAAATCAGTTTTCCTTTCCTTCTAATAATGCAGAGTGCACACTGAAAAGGTCAAATGGAAATGGGGAGGGGGGGATCCCTTGGCAAGCCCCACCCCTTCCTTCTGGGCTGCCCAAGACCTGCCAATCTCTGCAGAACAATGGTCTTGATGCAGACTGGCCAGAATTTCTCTTGGGATAGGAGACCAACCAGCAGCCTCCAAAGGCCCACTCAGGCCCTGCAAGAGCTCCTCACAGGTGCCTGTTTTCCTTCCCAGGCGAATCAACATGGAATCCTCCTTTGCCCCCTGATACATTAAATGCATGTTCTCTCCCAAGTCAAGCACAGATGTTGGATCGATGCAGCTCCTGTTGGATGGGGTAAGGATGGGCTATCCCATCTTACCAACCTGGAGAGAACAGATCACTGCTTTCTCTTGACCTCCTCAACCTTAGCCTGAACACAGCCAAAGCTATTAAGTTGCCCACCTCCTCCAGAAGCATAATTAAGTCCCACACAGTCCGGCAGAATCAGTATCCTCTCAATTGCTCTCCTGAAAGCCTTTCTGCACTGGTGTCGTGTCACCCCTCAGTCCCCATCCATTGCTGGTGCTGGCCAACAACTGTGAGTGACTGACAAGAATGATTTAATTTCTTTCCCACCTAAGAATGAGGGTCCAGGCCTGAGACAGAAAGAGAGAGAGGGACTGATGCCTGTACCTTGAAGCAGACCTCAACAAACATCATGCAACAAGAGAACGGGGCTGGAAGGTAACGGATTCTCCCCTCTTACCAGAGACGAGAGCAACTGTGTCTTTCTCCCAGGACACAACACTGACGTATTCTTGCACTGAAGAAGGGATGAGGCACTTGAAGACAGCCACGTTTCCACGCATTGACCTTTGATCCTCCACCCTGACGGTGTAGGGTTCCCTGAAAACTGGGAAGAGAGAGGAGAGGGGGTCAACAAGGCAGGAGCTGTTCCCAAAGGTGGCCCAAAGGTTCTGCCTTCTCTGTTCCTTCAGCCCTTGGCAGGGACCACGCTCCTTCACTGAAGAAGCCACCAGAGACTATAAGCTGGAACAAGACTGTATTTTGCATCAGTATTTTAAAATGAAACAGATGTTTTTCTGGAGTGAATACATGTCCACCTGGCCTAATACACAATAAATCCACTAGCATGAAAAATGCTAGCAGGACAAAGGCACAAAGAATGATAGTGCAAAAAATAGGTTATCATATCAGCTGAGAACTAATCAGAGAACACATTCATTTATTCTAAAACTGTATATGATACCATATACCCAACTACTCTGAATAGGCTCACAAAATGAATTAAAATATTTTAAATATTTCCTAAAGATTCTCTGTTTGTTCAAAAAGACACTTTGAAATGATGCAGCTGGGAATATAAACTTGTACAGGTAAAACTGATTTCCCAACTTAAAGACCTGGACTGGTGATATGGCAAGACTCATTCCCCCAGAGCGCAAACGAAGCACACCGACAATGAGCCTTTAGTAGACTCTGATGGCAGGCACTCACGGGAGTCTTTTGTTCGGCAAGCCACACAAACTGCAGTGATGATACCCTTTCCCTCCGGCTACGGCTACAAACAGAGCGCTTAGTCCTTACGTTGTCCACGGGGTGGGGGAGGGGGGCTTCTATCAACTCCCTGTTATTTATCTTATTGAACAACATGCATCTTGTCACAAACATATCAAAAAACCTGGCTTGGGTGGCGATGTGCTATGATCTACAAAAACCTTCCAAACAAGATAGGCTGAAAATCCTGTTCTTTTAAGTGCAGTAATTGGATTAAAGTAACTGTGAAATCAATATATCCAAACTTCAAGATAGGGAGCTCTGCTTCCTTGAAAGAAAGAGAGAGCTGAGTGAGCAGCTGAGGAGGGAGACCGACCCTGGGAATCACTGCTCCTGAAACGAGTTGCCAATGCTGGGTAGACAGACCAAAGGCCTGGCTCAGGAGGAGGCAGCTTCCTGGGCTCCAAAAGTGCAGAACACAAGGCAGAAATTGCATTTTCCTTTGCACTCCATAAAGTCCAGAAAAATCCTTCTATTAAGTCGGCTCTTGCACTGACATGATGCTTTTAGTAGCACACATTGTAGTTCAGGTAAATCATTGACTTCTGGGTATTTTATGCCAGTCAAAACTGCAGGGCCAGGCAAACCAGCTATCTCCTTTGGGCCTCCAGAGTGGTATGCCCTTTGCCAGCCCTGTGCTTAATAGGTTACCTAACGGGACTGCAGGAAGCTCACAGCCCACCCGTCCTCCGTCAA